AATCAAACCCAGTGAGCCGGGGCGAAAGCGTGGGGCAAGCCTGGGGGGGTGGACTGTTTGGAAGGGAGCCAGACAAATAAGGGAAGAAACAACCGGACAGGGTATGAAGAAGGTGGAACAAACCATGTGCATATGGAAGGGAAGAATGTGAGGAAGCTTCTTGCTTGTTGGATTTTGTGGAGGTTGAGGAGGAGTGGTAACCTCTGTCACTTGTATGAAGTTTGGGTGATGGGGAGAAGTTGCTGCAGGGCCAATTCCCTCCTGGCTGACTCCTACCTGTCCCTGCCTTCCCCACAGGCAGCATCCTCCCTGTGACAGTGTATGATCAGCACGGCTTCCGCATCCTCTTCCACTTTGCTAAGGATGCCCTGCCCGAGAGGCCAGACGTGTTGGTGGTGGTGATTTCTATGCTTAGCACGGCCCCGCAGCCCATCCGCAACATTGTCTTTCAGTCCGCTGTCCCCAAGGTAAGGTGGCTGCTGGGGCTGAGGTCCCCAGACTGGGCTGAATCGTGATTCTCCCTTTGCAGGAAAGGCAGGGTGGGTGGAGAGAGCTCTGCGGGGCTGAGAGCGAGTTGTGTTGCCTTCAGATTAGCAGGAACCAGCACAATGTTCTTCCCTTTGACTAGACAGTGGAAGCTCCCCAAATACAGGAGCAGGGCCTCTGGCTGCCAAGTCCCCCTCGGGAACGTGGGATGCTCTTCTCTCTCCCTAGGTGATGAAGGTGAAGCTGCAGCCTCCCTCGGGCACGGAGCTGCCGGCGTTCAACCCCATTGTCCACCCCAGTGCCATCACACAAGTCCTGCTGCTTGCTAACCCACAGAAGGTAATGGCACCGTCCCTGGGGCATGAGCAGGCTGGTCTTGCTGCCTGGGCAAAGTCTGGTTACCCTGTCCCTATTCCCTCTGCAGCTTCCTAGAGACCTGAATGGTTTGTGCCTCATGACTTTCTTCCCCACCCACCCCCCTTCTGACTCCTTATCCTTTCTCCCCTGTCTCCAGGAGAAAGTGAGGCTACGGTACAAGCTGACTTTCACCATGGGAGAGCAAACCTACAATGAGATGGGGGATGTGGACCAGTTCCCCCCGCCGGAGTCCTGGGGAAACCTCTAGGGCCACATGTTGCAGGCACTACACTGCAGCGTCCTTGGGAAGCCAGCCCTGCGGGGCTGGAGCAACCTGAGGAGATGGGGAGGGCGGGGGGGGGGCTGCTGCTCACGCTCTATTCTCCAGATGGCCGGGCGAGGGCCAGAGGGAGCGTGCCTCGAGGAGGAGAGCAGAGATGCCAGGAGATGTTCATCCCACAAGACTAGGAGTGGAGTGGAAGGCTTCGTGTGGGGGAACAGTTGCCTTCCCTGCTCTTCC